TGTCCAAATGTGCAAGTGTCTTTGTAGAATAACTTCTGAGAAATATTCCTAGCCTAGTAATTTCAAGACCAAGAAGGCAGAAATCTCAGACAAACCTCTGAGTAAGACATCTGCTGATGTGTGTAAGCTGAGAGGTGCTAAACTAACAGGGGATGGGGATGGGGGGCAGATGTCTCAAGAGACCCAGAGCAGAAAAGCCTTAAGCCTGATAGCCCTGCATTGGTCCAGCCTGTGTCTATTGTGTATAAGGCACTGTGATCAGGGATGATTTTTATCCTGGGCCCCATCCACTGCCAACTGCCGACATTTCCCTCCCACCCCCTCTCACCTCCATCCGAACCAGGAAGCACAAGCGTATGCAGACGACAACAGTTTGCTGTTCATGGAAACATCAGCAAAGACTGCAATGAACGTGAATGAAATTTTCATGGCAATAGGTAAGTTGCCTCCCACCAAGGGCATATCGCCTGGCTGCTGTTCTGTAATAGGACACTGGGGGTCCCTTCACTATTCTGATAAAATGGTTGTCTTCATCTGACTCCCCGATGTAGATAGTTCACTCCAGAATCTTCTAAAGCCTGGGCCAGTGTTTCAACATTTCACTCCTTCACACTTCAGCTTGCTGCCCGTTTCAAAGACTGTCATCACCATCCCCCTACCCACTTCTTAGGATTTTTTTAGTGCCTAGGCTTTAGAGGCATCCTGCCTGGGTTCAAATCCTAGCTCTGTTGCTTACTAGCTCTGTGGCCGTGGACAAGTTATTTAACCTCTCTTTGCCTCAGTTTCCTGAAACACTCAGAACATGCCTGGCAAGTAAAAGCCTTCAATATGTGAGTGATCACTGATTGAATGGTGAAGGCTAGCTTCTACTCGCGTAGGAGTAGCAGAGAGTATTTGGGTATCTGCCTCAAATGCATTTTTTCTCCTCTTCTCCCAAACAGCTAAGAAGCTCCCCAAGAACGAGCCCCAGAATGCTGCTGGTGCTCCAGGCCGGAACCGAGGTGTGGACCTTCAGGAGAACAACCCAGCCAGCCGGAGCCAGTGCTGCAGCAACTGAGCCCCCCTTGCCTGCCCACTGCCCCCACCTCCTCCGCCTGAACGACCCGACTGGAATCCACTCTAACCAATCGCACTTAACGACCCGGGCCACTGCTGGGGGGGCAGGGGGAGGGCTCCACCATGATTTCTCCATATAATTTTGATCATAGGCCGGAGTGAGTTATTCCACCTGCACCTTTCTGTACAAATACTAATTCAATTTTAAGTCTTAAGTCACTTTTTTAATATATATGATCTTCTGCTCTTCCCACTTCCTTCCCTTTCTACTGCTCCCCCACTTTTCCTTTGCTGGTAGTAACCACATGCTCCCCTGCCCGCCACCCCTGTATATGGGGGCAGGGGGCTGGAGCAGTTACCCTTCCTTTCCTTCTTGCTGAATAGCAGACTCAGCAAGAGCATCCACACCCTTTCCTTGTCTGGAGCGGGCTTCGTTTGGGGTGGTGGGGAAGGCCCTGGAGGCTAGCAAAGGAGAATGAGCTCTTCCCCCAGCGTGCTGTCATCAGGCTGCACCCCGCCCCCCGGCTGGGAGAGAACCCACAACATTACTACAATTACTTATCACACATTACTGTGACAGTCACGAACCCATTGCCCACCCCCACCCCCTTGGTCACCCTGACCTCTGGCTCTGAGCCCTGTTCTGACCAAATCACGATGATGAGTATTTGGGGGCGGGTGGGTAAGGGGGGGAGTGGGGGGGATGGAACCAACTTTTTCTGTATTTTGTATTGTATGTTTTCTTCAACATGTAACCAATCAGTATCTTGTCAATATAGTCAGCCGATCGATCGACCTTGCTCTTGTCTTCTTGTCTTTTCTCTGGCAGAGTTTATCAGACCATGCCCTCTCTAGTTTTCTTGATGTTAATTTAAAACGAACCACTGAATCTTGTTAAAACAAAAGCCTTCTTTTCCTAATGTGAGGGCATGCTGGTGGTCATGGTAACCAAGAGAAAGAGGCCCTATTAGCATCTCCTGTGGGGTGGGGGTGGGGTCAGACTGACCTGCAGCTGAATCTCACCAAGTTTTAACTGAGGGTCCTGCACTGGCTTCCCCCTCCCCTCTAGAGTAGATGGGGGTGATGTGCACTCTGTATTTGAAGACTGTTGGCTTCTGAAACAGTCTTTACCAGGCCTGTATGGGACTCTCACCCTCTTCCCTAAAGAGGAACATACATGACCTCTGCAACGTTAGGCTTGTCATAAGGCCAAGAGTGCCGCACCTGGCTTTCCTTACCACCTGTGTCCCCACAGCGCCACCTCACACGCACCAGGTCCAAGCCATCCCTTCCCAGTCTCTCAGGGCCCGCTGCTGGTTCTGGAGCCAGGTGAAGCTTGGGTGCTCCCAGCCCTCTGCTGCTCCCTGCTGGAGCCGGAGCTCTAAGCTGCTGGGGGCTGAGGGCTTATGGCCCTAGCAATGAAATGAGCTGAGTAGGGCAACACTCCCCTCCAGCTTCCAGGGCCACAGAGGCCTTGATTCTTGGTGGACCCCCACCTTGAGGTGCCTCCCTGTAGCTGCGGCTCCTCTTCCTCTGACCCCAACCCCCAGAAAAGACCACGGACAACAAGGCTGCTGCACACCGAGGTTGTTTACTGGCTCAGGCTAGGTTGGAACCCTTGGAGCTGCGGCCCCTGAGTCTTGGAGACAGCCCTCTTTCCGGGGGAGGCAGCGTCCGGCACTGGTTTCGGACACACAGCTGGCCGGAGGGGGTCAGGCAGCAGGTCATGGTAGCCGGATCTAGGTCGGCCGGTAGTTGCATTTCCTGGTGCATTTTCCGCGCCATGCAGAAGCCGCCCCCGTCTGGGCTGCAGCTCTCCAGGTGCTGCTGGCCGGTCACCATCAGGCGCCCGCCATCGATCCGCACCTCCAGCTCCTCGGGGTTGAAGCCGTGGGCATCCACCTTCAATTGGAAACTGCCCTCAGCATGGTCATCCTGCGCAGCCGCCGGATCGTCTCTGAGCAGCCGCACTGGCAGCCTGGCCACCTGGTTCTCTTCAACGAGGGCCACGCTGGGACGCCGGAACGCCGCCACCTGCTTCTCGTTGGAGAGGCCTGTCCCAACCCGCTGCATCGGTGTGAGCAACTGCTATCCACGCGCGTTCCGAGCGCAGGGCTCGCTCAGAACGCGGCAGAGGCGCGGGGGCGCTTACAAGGCACCGCCCGGGAGGAAAAGACTTTCCCGCACCCAGCATGGCTGCCTCCGCTCTGCCCTACTCAGCTCTGTTCGGTTCAGCTCGGTCCCCTTCGCTTCCGCAAAGCGGCTGCGCTCAGGTGAGATTCACTTTGGTAGAGTTCGGGGTCAGCTATGGACGTCCTACCCGCAAGGGTCAGGTTGTCAGCTGCCTAGGCGCTCCATCTCCTGCTTTTACACTGGGTCCTGCCCCTTTCTAGGGCCCTTCCCTGCCTCTGTCAGGGGGCCATGGGCGGCCAGAGGCTGTGAGTGAACTGGACTGGTACTGCAGGAGCCCTAACCTGGAGCCTCACAGGCGCAGACCTGAGAACAGATCGAACCTCCGGGCTGCGAGAGGGCTGTCTGGATCTTGCAGGAATCAGGCCTGCAGACAAGAAGGATTGCCCCATCGGAGTGTGGCCTTCTAGCGTTATCCATTCTCTAGATGTCCTGCCTTTCCCTGACCACGCACAATGGCTTCTCTCCTGCGCCCGTGAAGATTGGAAGATGGATGAGTCTTTCCGGCCTTTTATTCCTCCAACGCTGGGCCCGTTGTGGCACAAGGGCTGGGCTCTAGGACCACAAAGATGAAGACACGGGCCTTGCCCTCAGGAACTCAGTCTGGAGGAGAGTCTCTCCCAGAGTCGGTCCGGTGCCAGGAAAAGGCAGCAGTCCTCCTCTGCCGCCACGTTGTCCCCACTCAGTAGCCTTCTTTGTAACCACAGCCATGCCTCTGGCACTCGGCATTTTTTAAATAAACTCTTATTGAAATATACATACAGAAGAGTGCATAAAATCATACAGTTGAATTGTCACAAAGTGAACACTCACGTAACCATTATTACACAGCTCAAGAAATAGAAGCGTTACTAAATCTTAATGTCTTCTGTAACTGCAATTCTGCCCCGGGGAGACGTGGGGCAGGGCCTTTGCCGGGGTGGGGCGTAGGGGAGAGAGGTGTGCGGGGAAGCCAACGCGACCTCAGGCCCAGGCCAGCGCTTCCACCACTGGGCTTGGGAGGTGGGCAGAACCCACGATTCTGTTTTCTGGGATGCTCCTCCTTGTCCCTAAGAGGACGACAGTCTTTACTATCGCAGAAGCCCCAAGAGGGATTAGAAGTGAGGAGGGATCAATCTGGGCTGATCTCTCGGGCTTCACTTGGCTGCCCGGGTCCAGGGCACAGGACAGAAAAGTCTGGAAGCTGGAGATAGAGGGGAGAGGCGATGGAAGACTACAATTCCCATCATGCTCCAGTGCAGCGACGCCTGCGCACTGAGCGCCGTTTGCCCATGCGGCCCTAGGGCTGGGAGCGCCGCGCTGCGCTCCGCTGCGGGGGAGGCCATGGCGGAACCTTCCCAGGTCCCAACCTCGATCCCGGCCGCGCAGCCCCGTCCCCTTCAATCCCCAGTCCCTGCCCCAATTCCGACTCCTGCCCCTAGCCCTGCTTCGGCCCCGGCTCCAGCTCCCACTCCGGCACCAGCACCCGCCCCAGCTGCAGCCCCAGCCGGGAGCACAGGGACTGGGGGGCCCGGGGTAGGAAGTGGGGGTACCGGGAGCGGGGGGGATCCGGCTCGACCTGGCCTGAGCCAGCAGCAGCGCGCCAGCCAGAGAAAAGCACAAGTCCGGGGACTGCCGCGCGCCAAGAAGCTTGAGAAGCTAGGGGTCTTCTCGGCTTGCAAGGTGGGGGCGGGGCCTGCGTTGAAAGGGGCGGGGCCTGGGGCATCCAAAGGCTTGGGTGGGAATGGGGGAAAGCTTTGGCCGGGAAGCGGCTCCTTGCCCCTGGGTGTGGGGTCATTGACTGATCCTTCTGCCTTCAGGCCAATGAAACCTGCAAATGTAATGGCTGGAAAAACCCCAAGCCCCCCACTGCACCCCGCATGGACCTGCAGCAGCCAGCCGCCAACCTGAGCGAGCTGTGCCGTAGCTGTGAGCACCCCTTGGGTAAGGCAAGCAGCGCCCTCGGACCTTGGGTAGGGGAGCTGCTGACTCCTGCTTGGACAGGGTGCTGTAAGTGCCAGAAAGCCTCATCTCTGAAAAACCAAAGATGCCTCCTAAGGAGAGATCAGGTTGGGAGTGTATCTGCCTCAAAGCAGGAGAAAGGAAATGTGGCCCCCCAGAAGAGAAAGGGGGCTGCCCAAGGGTTGACGTCCGAGCAGCCAGTCTCCTTGGCTGGTCACACTGGTTAGAGGGGCCGAAAATGTATCTTGGCTGGTTATGAAGAGGGGAAGGAGTCCCCTGTGGACCTCTTCCACCCAACCTTCCCAACTCTACCACCTGTCCTTCTTGCAGCTGACCACGTGTCCCACTTGGAAAATGTGTCTGAGGATGAGATTAACCGGCTTCTGGGGATGGTGGTAGACGTGGAGAATCTGTTCATGTCTGTTCACAAGGAGGAGGACACAGACACAAAGCAGGTGTATTTCTACCTCTTCAAGGTGAGCTTCCTCCAAATGAGGGAGGGTTTATGAAGAAAGTGAGGCATGGGGCATTTGCAGCTCAGAGCTGTGCTGACTGGTACCCTGCCCCTTCCTCTTCTCTCCAGCTTCTGCGGAAATGCATCCTGCAGATGACCCGGCCTGTGGTGGAGGGGTCCTTGGGCAGCCCCCCATTTGAGAAGCCTAATATTGAGCAGGTAGGATGGGGAATGTGGTAAGAGGAAAGTTGGGGGCAACTTGGAGAAGTGGGGAGCCTGTGTTCTTTATCCTCCTCAGGCTGAGTATAGCAGAGAGGTTCAGAGAAGGGAGGATGTTTTGTAGGGAGGGGGACATAGTTTCTCTTTGCACAGAGCCCCAAAGTGAGAGGAGAGCCTCGTCTCTACCTTCAGGGAGTACCTACTTTCGGATAAGAAGCCCCTGCTGTCTGCCCACGCCTCACCCTCTGTTTTGTCTCCTCTCCCCCCCGCCCTTCTCAGGGTGTGCTAAACTTCGTGCAGTACAAGTTCAGCCATCTGGCTCCCCGGGAGCGGCAGACGATGTTTGAGCTCTCAAAGATGTTTCTGCTCTGCCTTAACTACTGGAAGCTTGAGACACCTGCCCAATTCAGGCAGAGGTCCCAGGCTGAGGATGTGGCCACCTACAAAGTCAATTACACCAGGTAGGCCTGGCCAGGGGTAGCATGGGGAGAGAGGTGTGTAGGCCCAGCCTGGGCTTAGTGGTTTCTGCCCTCACCTGCCACCTCCCCTACCCCCACAGATGGCTCTGTTACTGCCACGTACCTCAGAGCTGCGATAGCCTCCCCCGCTATGAGACCACTCATGTCTTTGGGCGAAGCCTGCTCCGCTCCATCTTCACAGTTACCCGCCGGCAGCTGCTAGAGAAGTTCCGAGTGGAGAAGGACAAGCTGGTGCCCGAGAAGAGGACCCTCATCCTCACCCACTTCCCCAAGTAAGGCTCATTCTGGCCTCTCAGGACCTTGCCTCAAGTTCATGTCTTTGCTCTTGTCCCCTTTTGTCTGCGAAGGCTTCCTGGAGTGGTCCCTCCTTGCCCTCCATGAGTCTTCTGGGATCTGGGTGTCTACCTGGCAAACTTGCTCTGGCCCAAACGCAACTTGCTAGTATTTGCCTTGTATGTGTTAGTCTGGGAATGGCAGGGACATGGCATAAGTGCTAATGCTGCCCCCTCCCATGCCCGTGGAAGACATTACTAGTTGTTTCTGCAGGGCCTGGACAGTCTCAGAATCCTTCCCCCAGCAGCACTCCAAGAAATCAGAGTTTACCTTGAAGTGAAACAGATTTCCATCCCTCTTCTAGTCCTTTCTATAAGATTTTCTTCTGTTCAGCCATATCTTCTTCCCATTTTAAGCCTGGCTCATAACTTCTCTATTCAAGAAGCCTTTCCTGACTAATCCTGGCTCTTCAGGGCTCCTCCTACCACCAGGTGGGAAGAAGTGGTGGCAGGATGGGATGGACTTTGAGCTGCACATTGATACTAAGGGGACTGAGGCTGAGGGTAATTCAGTGTGCTGCCTGGCCATATACACAGGTGGCATCTGCACAGGCCCTATCTCCCTGTGTTCTTTCCCCTGTGCTGCGCATCATGTCAGGAAATGGGCCTCTTGGATCTCTGCCTTAGAAGTGTCTTATCCTCTTACTTTCATCTGGGGGCTCCCCAAAGGCAGGGGGCTGCACCTCCCTCTTCAGACTAGGTTCTCAGAAGGCAGAGGGTGTGTACTCTCTCAGGAGAGCAGCTCTGTCTGTTTCCTCTGCCTCCTGCCCCTTTGGTGCCTGGCCCAGGGCTCCGCCCTTGGTTGCAGGGGTAGGATTGTGGGACCGACCCTGCACCCTTCCGTAGATTCCTGTCCATGCTGGAGGAGGAGATCTACGGGGCAAACTCTCCGATCTGGGAGTCCGGCTTCACCATGCCACCCTCAGAGGGAACACAGCTGGTGCCCCGCCCGGGTATGTGCTGTCTGGCTCTCTGCTTGCCTTCCTGGCTGAGCTAAGCCCCCCTGGGAGGAGAGGGCTGGGAATGACAGCAGCGGCAAATGCAGGAGGGCTTGTAATGCATCCGGGGTTGGAGGGCTTGGATCCCTTTGAGAAACCTGCCCAAACCTCAAACCCCTGTCCCGATTTTTCTGTCTGTCAGCTACTGTCAGTGCAGCGGTTGTTCCCAGTGCCCCCATCTTTAGCCCCACCATGGGTGGGGGCAGCAACAGCTCCCTGAGTCTGGATTCTGGAGGGGCTGAGCCCATGCCAGGTAAGTACTTAACCCCTGACCTCTGACTATCATGTACCCCTCCCCCAACTTCTTGCTGCCCCTGGGATACCTTGCCAAACCCCCAGCAGGTGAGAAAAGGAAGCTTCCAGAGAACCTGACCCTGGAGGATGCCAAGCGGCTGCGTGTGATGGGCGACATCCCCATGGAGCTGGTTAATGAGGTCATGCTGACCATCACTGACCCTGC